AGTCTGGTTCTTTTTTTTTGAGTTAGAATTTTGTTCTCCATTTTTCTCTAGCTCTGTCTGGGACCTTGTATTGTGATCCCTGTCAGAGCAGTCAGTGGTGGTAACCAGGCATCATTTAGTTGTACTGGACTCAGTCTGGTGGAGGCCGTGGTAGTTGTGACCTATTAGTCCTTTGGACTAATCTTTCCCTTATATCTTTAGTTGTCTTCATTTTCACTTGCTCCTGAGGGGGTGAGACCTGTGGTGTATCTTAGATGACCACTCATGGGCTTTTAAGATTCCAGACGCTACTCACCAAAGTAGAGTGTAGAACGTTTTCTTTTATAAACTGTGTTATGCCAGTTGAGCTAGATGTTCTCTGAGATCATGGTCCCCACAGCCCTCAGCCCAGTAATTCAGTCCCTTGGAGTTTGGATTTGTCCATGGAGCTTCCATGACCTTACCCTGAACAAGTTGTGCTGGCTTCCCCAGTACTGTGTACTGTCTTACGCTTCACCAAAGCTACCACTTAACTATTGTCTATTTAGTGCTTTTCTACCCCCTCCCCTCCCCTCCTTTGTAAACATCAAAGATTGTTTATTTTTGTGTGTAAACCTATTCATGAGTTTTTATAGTAGTCGTCTCATATATTTGTCCTTTTGTGATTGACTTATTTCACTCAGCATAATGCCCTCCAGATTCATCCGTGTTGTGAGATGCTTCGCAGATTCGTCATTGTTCTTTATTGTTGCATAGTACTCCATCGTGTGTATGTACCATAGTTTGTTTATCCAGTCATCTGTTGATGGGCATCTAGGTTGTTTCCATCTTTTTGCTATTGTGAACAATGCTGCAATGAACATGGATATGCGTGTGTCTATTTGTGTGACGGCTCTTATTTCTCTAGGATATATTCCTAGGAGTAGGATTGCTGGCTCGTATGGTATTTCTATTTCTAGCTTTCTAAGGAAGCACCATAACATTTTCCAAAATGGTTGTTCCATTTTGCATTCCCACCAGCAGTGCATGAGCGTTCCAATCTCCTCGCAGCCTCTCTCCAACATTTGTTACTTTCTGTTTTTTTGATTCGTGCCAGTGATGCCAGAGTGAGATGGTATCTCATTGTGGTTTTGATTTGCATTTCTCTAATGGCTAGTGATCCGGAGCATTTCCTTTTGTGTCTGTTAGCCGCTTCAATGTCTTCTTTGGTGAAGTGTTTGTTAATTTCCTTTGCCTATTTTTTAGTTGGGTTATTTGTCTTTTTGTTGTAGAGGTGTTGGATTTTCCTGTAGATTTTAGAGATTAGACCTTTGTTGGATTTGTAAGAGCCAAAATTTTTTTCCCAGTCTGTAGATTGTCTTTTTACTCTTGTTGAAATTTTTTTTTATTGTTGTAGTTTAAGTGAAAGTTTACATTTCAAGTTAGTTTCTCATACAAAAATTTATACATATATTGTTATGTGACCCTAATTGCTCTCCCTATACTGTGCCAGCAGACTCCTCCTTCCCACTCTTGATCTCCCGTGTCCATTCAGCTAGCTCCCAACCTTCCCCGCCTTCTCGTCTCACCTCCGGACAGAAGCTGCCCATTTAGTCTCATGAATCTACTTGAGCTAAGAAGCACACTCTTCACAAGTATCATTTTATGTCCCACCGTCCAGTCCAATCTTTGTCTGAAGAGTTGGCCTCGGGAATTGTTTTAGTTCTGGGTTGACAGAGAGTCCAGGGGCCATGCTCTCTGGGGCTCCCCCAGTCTCAGTCAGAACATTAAGTCTGGTCTTTTTACTAGAAATTGAGTTCTGCATCTCACCCTTCGCTCGCTCCATCAGGGACTCTCTGTTGTGTTCCCTGTCAGGCAGTCATTGGTGGTAGCTGGGCACCATCCAGTTCTTCTGGTCTCAGGCTGATGAAGTCTCTGGTCTGTGTGGCCCTTTCTGTCTCTTGGGCTAATACTTCCCTTGTGTCTTTGGTGTTCTTCATTCTCCTTTACTCCAGGTGGTTGGGACCAATTGATGCATCTTAGATGGCTGCTTGCTAGCTTTTAAGACCCCAGACACCACGCATCAAAGTAGGATGCAGAACATTTTCTTAATAAGCTTTGTTATGCCAGTTGACGTAGATGTCCCCTGAAAGCATGGTCACCAGATCCCCACCCCTGCAACTCTGTCCCTCGAAGTGTTTGATTGTATTCAAGAAACTTCTTAGCTTTGGTTTAGTCCAGTTGTGCTGACTTCCCCTGTAGTGTGTTTTCCTTCCCTTCACCTAAGATAATTCTTGTCTACTATCTAGGTAGTGAATAACCCTCACCCTCCCTCCCCATCCTCGTCACCATCAAAGAATGTTTTCTTCTGTGTTTAAACCTTTTCTTTGGTTCTTATAATAGTGGTCTTATACAATATTTGTCCTTCTGTGACTGACTAAATTCACTCAGCATAATGCCCTCCAGATTCCTCCATGTTATGTTTCACAGATTCATCATTGTTCTTTATCATTGCATAGTATTCCATAGTGTGAAGATACCATAGTTTGTTTATCCGTTCGTCTGTTGATGGCCACTTAGGTTGTTTCCATCTTTTTACTATCATGAACAGTGTTCCAGTGAACACAGGTGTGCGTATATCTATTCGTGTGACGGCTCTTATTTCTCTAGGTTATATTCCAAGGAGCGGGATTGCTAGATCGCATGGTACTTCTATTTCAGGCTTTTTAAGGAAGTGCCAAATTGATTTCCAAAGTGGTTGTACCATTTTACATTCCCACCAGCAGTGTGTAAGTGTTCCAGTCTCTCCATAACCTCTCCAGCATTTATTATTTTATGTTTTTTGGATGAATGCTAGCTTTATTGGGGTGAGATGGTATCTCACTGTAGTTTTGATTTCCTTTTCTCTAATGGCTAATGATCGTGAGCATTTCTTCATGTGTCTGTTAGTCGCTTGAATGTCTTCTTTGGCCAAGTGTCTGTTCATATCCTTTGCCCATTTTTTAATTGGGTTATTTGTCTTTTTGTTGTTGAGGAGTTGCAGTATCTTGTAGATTTTAGAGATTAGACACTGATTGGATTTGTCATAGCCAAATTTTTTTTCCCAGTCTGTAGGTTGTCTTTTGACTCTTTTGGTGAAGTCTTTCGATGAGCGTAAGTATTTGACTTTTAGGAGCCCCCGTTTATCTAGTCTATCTTCTGGTGCTTGAGCATTGTTACTTCCGGTTCAGATCGTGTTTTTGCCACGTATTAAAGCTCCTAGCGTTTCTCTATTTTTTCTTCCATGATCTTTATCCTGTTTGATTTTATATTTAAGTCTTTGATCCATTTTGAGTTAGTTTTTGTGCATGGTGTAAGGTATGGGTGTTGTTTCAGTTTTTTACAGATGAATATCCAGTTACGCCAGCACTATTTGTTAAACAGACTGTCTTTTCCCCAGTTAACGGACTTTGGTCCTTTGTCAAATATCAGCTGCTCATAGGTGGATGAATTTATGGCTGGATTCTCAATTCTGTTCCATCGGTCTATGTATGTGTGTTATTGTACCAATACCAGGCTGTTTTGACTACCATGGCAGTATAATAGGTTCTAAAATCAGGTAGTGTGAGGCCTCCCACTTTGTTCTTCTTCTTGAGTAATACTTTACTTATTCGGGGCCTCTTCCCTTTCCATATGAAGTTGGTGATTTGCTTCTCCACCTCATTAAAAAGTGCCGTTGGAATTTGGATCGGGGTTCCAGTGTATCTGTACATCGCTTTGGTTAGAACTGACATTTTCACAATGTTGAGTCTACCTATCCATGAGCAAGGTATGTTTTTCCACTTACGCAGATCTCTTTTGTTTTCTTGCAGTAGTGTCTTGTAGTTTTCATTGTATAGGTGTTTTACGTCTCTGGTTAGATTTATTCCTAACTTTTTTATCTTCTTGGGGGCTATTTGTAAATGGTATTGATTTGGTGATTTTCTCTTGGAAGTTAAACTTTTTTCTTAAACAGATCTTTAACCGGTGTTCCTATTTTGACCCCTATCTGTGGAGATACTTGGTGCTGCCAATTCAAAATGCCTTTCTGGTATTCTGCTGTACAAATTGGCTTGCTTCTGGGCTTTCCCCATTGTTGGTTTAGGTTTTGATTTTCCTGGGTTTGCCAGGTCAGTTCCACTTGTCTTTGTGATATCTAGCTCATCCATTTGATTTCCAGCTTCCAAAATTAAGTTGCTCTCATCGTTCCTGTTCTCTTTATCTTTGTAGATTTGTGCCTTTCTAAAAAACACGTTCATTAGCAAAACTAGATAATAATTAAGTCAGAATAATGATTACCTCTTAGAGATAGGGAATGGCTTGAGAAAGGGCATGATAGAACCTTTTGGACTACTATGAAATTTCTGTATCTTGATCTGTGTGGTTGTTACATATATGTAAAAAAATTATTGAGCTGTATAGTAAAGGTCAGTGATTCAAACCTACCAACTGCTCCACTGGAGAAAGATGTGGCAGTCTGCTTCCATAAAGAATTGCAGCTTTGGGAACCCTTTGGGGCAGTTCTATTCTGTCCTGTAGAGTTGCTTCAAGTTGGAATCGACTCACCACCAGTGGGTTATAGTTAAGATTGGGATATTTTATGCATTTAAGTGCATGTTTGTTGTATCAAAGTATACTTTCTTTATCATTTTAGTAGAGTTTTGAGAGATAGCAGAGGTAAACACATGGATTGAATATACTTTCTTTAACCAGTAACATTAATATTGAAAAAATGCAAAACATTTAATAGTTAACCTGATTCAAATGTGGCTAGGACTATACTCATGTTGTTCTGTTAGTTACCTTGATATAATTGAGAAGTAGAACGTACAAGTTATCTTTCATCTTATTTTGTGAAAGTGTCAGTTTGGTACACCTTCTTCCATACTTTTTCAATGCAAATACTAACATACATTCTCAAATATATACCCACATGTATTATAAATATTCACAGAAAATTAAATAATAGATATTTGAAGAAAATTATTATTTACAACCAAAATATTTGCTTTTCTTGTTTACAGATATAAAGAAAGTTCTACAGAGACACAGATTATCAGGAAGTTGCCACATGGTTACATTTCAACTTGAATTTCAGATTCTGGAAATTCAGGTAAATTAAAGGAGTATGTTGAGATAACAATGATTGTTCTGCTGTGAAATAAATAATTCCCATACCCCAGCCTCCAGCAGCAGCATAGCTGGGAAGTTCATGAGCCAGGTCTCCCTTGTAGTACGTTCATGGAAAGTGATACTGTTTTGGGTTAAATTGTGTCCCCCAAAGATATGTGTTGAATTCCTGGTCCTTGTACTTGTGGATGTAATCCTGTTTGCAAATGGTGTTTTATTTGTTATGTTAATTAGATCATACTCAAGTATGTGGGTTCTAAATCTAATCACATCCGAGTTATAAAAAGAGCTAGTTAGATATAGAGACACACACGGGGGAAGACAGATGACGTGTGACGATCTGCGACATCTACGAGCAAATGGACACCAAGAATTAGTAGAGACGCTTACAGAAGAAATCAACATGGCCAAGACTCTGATTTGGACTTTTAGCGTACAGAACTGTGAGAAAATAAATTTATGGTCTTTAAAGCCACCCACTTGTGGTGTTTGTGCTACATCAGCACTAGGAAACTAAGCCAGGTACCATTTCAAAAAGTTCTTCAGTATCAATACCCGGCAACTGCATATGGTAGGGTTGGTGCTGAGGTCATAGATACTTTATTGGAGGACGGATAGTAAGATGGTCCTGGGCTCCTAGTGTTAGCCCTTGACGTTACGGCAGCACTCCTGGATACCTTTGAGAGTCAGCTGAAATACCAGCTATATTAGTTGTATATTGCTGCTTCACAAATTTTCCCAAAGTTTAGCAGTTTAAAACAATGAAAATCCTTTATTATCTCACCAAGTTTCTGTGTGTCAGGAGTCTGGAAGCAGCTCAGTTGGGTGGTTGTTGCTTAGGGCCTCTCATGAGGTCATCCAGGCACATCTGTCTACAGGCTGCATTGACAGTGGAGGATCTGTCTTTATGGTGGCTTGCTCTTGTAGCTAGCAAGTTGATGCTGCACTGCTGAGACACAACAGAGGGAGGAAGACAACTTTTGCTGAAACTTCCACATAAAATAAACGAAGCAGACAGGATGGTTACATGCAGCCCCACAGCTAGGATAGGGACATGCCCCCTGCTCACATGCAGGTTCAGCTTCACATGCAGATATGAGGCTAAAGGCAGTGTTCCTCATCCTCGTCCTGGGCACCTGTGTTGTCAGCCTCAAAAACAGTCTCAAGTTGTCCCTTTCTGTTTGGGACAGGAGTCAATGTCAGAGAGGCAGGATCCTTTGTCCTTATGTATCAGACAACCATCCCTCTGAATAGCCAAGAGCACCTACGTGGTCTAGGTATCTGGACTTGGAGTTTGTGCTTCTCCTCTTTATAGTCCGTATTCCCACTTGCTATCACTCGCCCTGGCAGGCTGAGAAGGGCAGAGGCATATCTAGGCTCCTCATTTGATGACAGAGTTCCCAGCTTGCACCCCATCTCAGAGTAGCACCCTTCAGTATTGCCAGGGTGACTAAGAAAATTCCCAATGTGGCATTGCCAAGGTCTGTTGAACAGGTAACAACACATAGTTCAGTATTATGTGTGGGGGACATGTGTAATGAGTCGCCCTGGAGGAGTTGGCACCAGGCTGGGGGCCATACAGGGTCACCATGGCGATACTGTTGTTCTGTATGCCTTTAAGGCTCATCTGCTGAAAACTAAAACAGAACATGGAGGCAAAAGAATTGGTGTCATTTCAGGAGGTACCCTGTGCCTTTGGGTGACCCAGGAGCTCCTGGATGTTGTCTCACTTGTGAAAGGTTGCATAGTGTGGCCATTTGCATTTTCTTTCTTTGTAGCTAATGTGATTTTGAACTCAGAGTGGTGATACACTGAAGGCTCAAATACCTACAACCTGTGGCATGTTGGTGGAGTCCTAAGCCTTAGGGTCCAATACCATTACCAAGAACATCTGCATTCTCTTTGTATACATTGCCCAGGAAACTGCTCACAGCAGCCTTGGGGTCTTGCAGGCTTTTTCTGCTATAGATGTACATCTACTTTACAGTTGCTCCATGGGTTATTGAGAGAAGCTAGGCCATGAGAAAAATTAGGCTTATACTTCGGAAGTTTGGTCTACAAATTTAACTGAAAATAGAAAGTTGAGGTGAAAGAGCTGCTCACTGGAGTTGTACATTCCAGGATGGGTTATGTCTAAAAGATTGGTCATTGTGCTCATTAGTGGAGCTGTGACCTGAGAGATAAAATAGATTACAATATTTTAGCTTCAAGTTTTTAAGTTGTATGCTTCAGTTACCTTTAGCCTGAGAAGGAAACATTCAACAGCAGTTTAATCCTGTCCTGAGTCAGATTAAGTGTGAGGTCATGGTTTAGAGGACATTTTGATAATGTGATATGCTTCTGAAGAATGGCTACTACCTGTCCAGTGGCATTTCCGGTATGAGTTGGCACTGAGTATAATCGATAAGGTTGTGTGTCAACTTGGCTGGGCCGTGATTCTCAGTGATTTGACAGTTATGATGTAGTTTGGCAATTGTATAAAGATGTAATCACCTCCATGATGAGATCTGATATAATAGGATCACCTCCATGATAGGATCTGCTGTGAGCAGCCAGTCAGTTGAAAGGGAGTTGCCTCGGGTGTGTGGCCTGCATCCAATAGAGGTGGACTTTCTGGCAAGGCTTGTGGGCTTTTCTTGCTCTGGCTCCTGCAGCTGGCTCCTGTTTGTCTGGCCTCTTGTTCTTGGGACTTGAGCTAGCAGCTTACCTGATCTTGGGATTTGTCAGCCTCCGCATTCTGTGAGCCAGAGGCCTGTTGTCTGACCTACCAATTTTGGGTTCACCAGTCCCTGCAGGTACGTGAATCAGGAGAAGCCTCCAACCTGACCCATGGACTTGGAACTTGCCAGCCTCTACAACCATGTGGGCCATTTCCTTGGTATAAATTTCTCTCTCTCTCTTTCTATGTATATATGTAGACGCTTCACTGATTTTGCTTCTCTGGAGAACCCAGCCTAAGTCACTGGGGAACTCCAGGTCATATAGGCTCAGCTTGCTGGGCCTGAGGGCCTCCCTGAGGCAGCACAGAGCTAAAAAGACCAAGCAGCAGCTGCCCCACAATGCGGACCCACCACCCCTGTTGTCCTGGCCATGCTCCCTACCTCCTATCAGGCAGTGATGGCATTGGCCCTGATTAAGGTTTGCTAAGCTAATATTCTGATCCCCCTCTCACCAAAGCATATATTATTAGCTATAAAAATGGCATGAAGGAGGTGTCTGACTTCCTCTAACTTCACAGAGGAGAAGGAGAATCAAGGCTGATTCCTGTGAGGTGGAGGTCAGACATGCCTCCTCTCTCTGCCATCGTTACCATCTCTGACACCAGCCGTCCCTCCTACGGCACTCTCTACTTCTCTGCTTGGTTCGATAATTCATTGCAGAGGCCACACAGAACTCACAGACAATACTCATGATTATGGAGTTTATTAGGTAAGTAACAGTTACAGTTCAGGCTCAGAACACTCAGGATACAGTTCTTCCATCAGGACAGCCTCTTCCCAGCCATGCTCGCAGGCATGCCTCTCCCTGACCCTTAGCCTCTGCCCAAAGGCACTCAGCTTTCTCCGTCCTTGGGCTAGGAAGCCCACCACACTGTCTCCTGCTGCTGGGTCTCTGCCACCACCTCTTTCTGCCTTCAGTGTTAACTTGCTCTCTCTCAGTTTCTTGGCTCTAGGAGCTTCTCAGTGCAGGGATCCTGGGTCCAAAGGATGTGCTGGCTCTTTTTCCTTGGTGGCGGTGGTATCCTTTCTTTCCTGCTTCTCGATGGCTCACCTTAAGCCCAGTGGGATGGCAAAACTGACCAGTCCCGTTGGTGGGCCACAATTACCATATCTGCATAGTTCTGCCCAATCACTTGGGTGGGAGTTAGAAAACCATGGCTAGAAAGGCCACACAAAAGTGATCCATCATACTGTGTTAGCTCACATGATGAATGAATTAAAATTAGTTGAGCTGCAAATGACAGAAAACTTAAAAACAAGGTGGTGCAAAGTACTAGAAGTGTATTTCTCTGATACTTAAAGTTGTAAGGTAAAATTTCAAGGGCTAATGTGGTGGCTTTGTGATTGTCAGGCTCTGCCTGATATATTGTTTCTTCTATCAAATAATGGTGCAATGATTACTTTAGCATTTCAGTCATCAGGAAAGGGGAGATGGGGAAAGTCGCCAGGAAATGGGCAAAAAAGAGCCCATCTCTTCTTTGAAGGACACCTTCTTGAGTTCTTGTATTACATTACATTCTCTTGGCCATAACTTATGCAAGGGAGGCCGGGAAATTTAGTCTTCATTGTGCATAGCCAGGCACCCAGTGAAGAACTGGGACAAGAAAGAGAAGTACAAATGTTGGGAATTACTAGCAGGCTTCTGTCACATATGTTTTAGGGAATGCATGAAAAAAATTTAAGGAGACAACTGTTGATAATCTTTGAGAGACATAGAACACAGTAAGTGCTGAGTCTCTGAAGAGACATGAGTTGTCATTGTTCACATTTTAAAGTATTTAGGTGCTTTGGAACTGCTCAGTTTTACTTGCAATTTGCTGCAGTAAGAGTGTGCTGTCCCTGGCTATGTTAAGAACACTGTCTTTCTCTCTGAGCCTTTCCATTTCTATGATTCTTTTTGTGGACAAGACTTGTAACCAAGATGTTGAAAGCAATCACAGACAACTTTTGAGTCAGCAAGATTTTAAGAATTAGGTATATATGAAATGCCTAGACTTTCTTGCTTAGAGAGGGAAGGAGCAAAGGACTATTGTATCTTTTTTGTTGTTGTTGCTTAAAATTATTTAATGGTAAATCCTAGTGTAGCCTAGGCCTACTCTTGTGTGTGTATACCTTTAGAATATATCTCTAGTAGAATTACTAGGTCAAAGGAAATGTACATATGAATTCTGACTGATAGCACCAAATTGTCCTCTAAAATGGTTTTACCCTTTTCCATACTGAGAGAATTTTCATAGTTGAGACTGATAGAAAATAGTAATGG